ACTAGTAAGGGCCAAAAAATATTAAAGTCGGGTGAACATACGTAGGTGTTTACCTTTTTTTTTTTGGTCACTCAGTGTACTTCAGATACCTTCCTTAAGATAAGAAAATAGGGGCTTCAATTTATCCCTGGCTGAGTACTATTTAGCTTGAAACTGATCTTAACTGTATATTTGATTACCAAATCAAGGTCAAGACAATTTTCATCAATGATATCCTATAAATTTGGCTCCAGAAATGTAGCTGAAATTTTTCGTTCAGGACCTCTATTTTTGAGTTGAGAGGAAGTAGAAATTGTGAAAGTGGCAAAAAGTGGGTGTGGCCCAGAAATATATATATATATATATATATATATATATATATATATATATGTATATATATATATATTTAGGTGAAAAATTAAAGCTTCGGCCTTTTGTTGGGTACTTCGACAAAAATTCAAGCAAGGAGGACTCTTTATACTTTTTTATTCTCTCTAGCTTTCAATGGACTTTGCCATCATCATTGTTGCTACTGTCATCAATGTAATTGCAGCTCCTGATGATAATGGCAAAGTCCATTGAAAGCTAGAGAGAATAAAAAGAGTATAAAGAGTCCTCCTTGCTTAAATTTTTGTCGAAGTACCCAACAAAAGGCGGAAGCTTTAATTTTTCACCTAACTGGTCTAGACGACAATGACCACGTCTCAAATATATTCAGGGTGTCCGCAAAGTTGGGGTTTTCCTTTACACGACGTGTAGATCTTGAAAACATAAGCAATTTCGCTTCGTACCATATACACCAATGTCTTAAGGGAACCGAGATAAAGGGCTCTGCAACATCAAAAATATCTGAATACCGTCCTGAAGCCGCGACATCACCGAGTGGTACAAGGTCACTGGCTCAACCCGACGACAGAACTGGGTCGGGGTCAGTGTGTCAGGTCAGTATGCAACCTTCAACCGACGGTTACGGTCACGCGTGTAGAGGTAATCGCGTAGACGAGAATCCCTCAACAAGCACTAGAGACGTGGCTAGAGAAGTGCAAGTATCAAAAACTAAAGTGTGGCAAACGCTGCGTGAAGAGGGGCTGTATCCGTTTCACGTCCAACGTGTACAAGCCCTTCAACCTGACGATTTTCCAGCAAGAGTGCGGTTTTGTGAGTGGTTGTTGCATCAACATGACAATAATCCGGACTTTTTGAAGTGCATATTGGTGACAGACGAATCTACGTTCACGCGTAATGGGGTGAATAACTTTCTCAATACTCATGTTTGGTCAGTAGAAAATCCGCACGCTGTCCGTCGGGCACATTTTCAACAAACATTTTCGGTGAATGTTTGGGCTGGCATGGTGAACGGTATGCTCATTGGACCATTTATTCACGCAAATCGATTGGACGGGATGCAATACCTAGACTTTTTACGCAACATTTTGCCTTCCTGGTTAGAAGATGTGCCATTAAGTGTAAGACAATCAATGTGGTCTCTGCACGATGGTGCACCGCCCCATTTTAGACGCGAAGTGCGTGAGTTTTTGAATGAATTATTTCCGAATAGGTGGATCGGACGTAATGGACCCGTAGCGTGGCCTCCGCGATCTCCAGACTTAACACCATGTGTTTTTTTTCTTTGGGGAGGAATGAAACGCTTAGTGTACAAAACTGAAGTGCATACGGTTGACGACGAACTTCGTCTCAGAATTGAAAAAGCTGGTGCTTTCATTCGGGGGAGGGACTCCATTCTCAAAGCCTGCACCGATGCTTGGCTACGTCGTGCACGCACCTGTGTTTTTGAATCAAACGGCGATAACTTCGAACAATACCTATAAAGTACGTTTACCTAAAACCTGAAAAGGCGGCAACGCCGTCATATTTGTTACATCTGTTCGTGGTCTGCACCACCGCCTGCGTCTGCTCGGTAGCGCATCAGCTGATTTCATTTTCTGTTGGAGCGGTATGATTTCGGGCAGAGACGTACTTAGCCCTTCTCGTCAACTGGAGAGTGAGTACTTCTTCCTTTATTTTTTTTTTACTTGGTCGCCCTCGTTTCACTACACATTACCTTTGTTATTTCAAGGGTAGTTGTTTCTGAAAAGGAAAACCCCAACTTTGCGGACACCCTGTATATATAACCTAAAAATTGACGTGTTTGGCATTGTTATTGTCGTTCCTGCTAAACATATTGCCAACAATAGTTAATTTCAATCATTTGATGTATTGGATCGATATTATTAACGAGGAAGTAGACGAGGTAGTTGAGGAATGGAAGATTGGGAGAGTTATTCTTGGGCACTGAGATCCTTTCATAATTTCTGATCGAAATTTGTACACATGTTTAGTTTGACCAAAGAGTGTATGGATTGCTGGAGATATTGACTCCAGTCATACAACCACCCCCACGAGCTTCTGCACTTTCGATCAAAACAAAGGTAAGAGTAGATATTAAGTTTAGTCATTCTAAAACAGTATCCTTTAATCTATGATTGAATTTTCCCTGGTGCATTTGGGGTTACTCTCGGAGAAATTCAGTCATTTTATCCTTTTGTTTATTTGTAATGTGCTTTTTTAAGTTTTCCGCTCCATAGATAAAATTATGAGGAGGAAATCTTGACCAAAATCTTGGCTTAGTTTTTGACTGGCAAAATTATCTCATTTTTGATTGATACACGTTTACTCAAACCTGGAAAACCTGTGTCTTGATTTCCTTTCTCCTTTCTATCGAGACCTTTCAAGAATACAGTTTTTTCGAATCGATAGGAAACCGTGGGAGTAGAAAAAGAGAAGGACTGTGATTTTCTATCAAAGTCAAGAATAGGGACACAGATATGACTTTAGGTAAGAATTATTTTGACCTCAAATATCCTATTCAATGTCGCCATGAAAAAACATTTGGGAGTATGTCTGGGATCCTTCTGAAAATAATCCAAAAATAAGAACCTAAAGACAACAGGATTTTCGACTTTTACCCTGAATTTTCACTGGTGCTCTTGAAGCTAACCTGTCTCATGGTCTGGATAGTCAGATCAAATAATCATCCATGTTTGTCTGGCCAATCAAAACCGCATATGCGTAGAACTCTTCTTCACTAGCTGTTACTCGCGACTTCGTGAACGTTAAATTGTTACTAACATATAACATTGGCTTGAGTAAATTGCATTGCAAATGTTTGAAATTAGCATATTTAATTAAAATAAATTTGTCATTGTAAAAGCTACCTCTCCGTCAAATTTCCGGATACAATCAAATCTACTCTAAACGGAACCTCATCGTTGCCAATTTTTAGATATTATAAAACTCCAAGTAATTTCACACAAACTTGCAAGTGCCTTTCAAGCCCTTACTCCAGCCCTGTCAGTAAATCTGTTCTTAGCTTAAATGTCCTGTCTATAAGTTACTTCCCTGCTAAAAATCATGTTTGTAGATCAACTAGTTTCCAAGATTTCCTGTTTAATGTGTCTATTTTCGCTCTTACATAGGCCCTTAGCCTGCCTAATCTAGCTCTGTTCCAAAATCCATTCATAACTGACATTCTTTCCCCAAGGACTAACTCTCTACCAAACAGTTTTCGAGATTTCGTGACCTATGTGTATCAGTGGTCTTTTATACGTATATTTATGTATGTCCCCTCGTATTAAACACACCCAGATTATGCAACACAGAAAAGGGTTGACACAAAGACAGGATTTCCAGTATAAATAGAAATATCTTTATACATAATATGGTGTATGATTTATCGCATCGAATTTCTGTTTAAGTTGAAATGGAACACAGCTGACGCAAGTCACGATACAGTCTTCTTGTGATAATGGAAAATCCATATAAATTGAGAATATTGGAGGAAGCAGTCGTGCTTGACGAATATAAGATTTTTCATCCACAATGATATCGTCGATCTCAATTTATTGGTCAAACTGTATTTCCGCAACAATAAATTCGTAGCTACCCAATTCATTTGGACGGCGACATCTGAAAATGTACTGGTCGATATTAACATTGACCAGCTTTCTGATCATTCAATTTTAGATTGTATTTCCTCATATGACTTTGTATCGCAAATTCACAAGCCCACCAGAATTCCACCAACAAATGAGACTTGTATTGATGTAATATTCACTAGTTACAGCATTAGTGATATAGTGACCAGCTCGGGAGTACATCCAGCAGATAATATATCTGATCATAGTGCAGTATTTAGCAATTTAAATATAAGCATTATCAAGCCTGAACCAATAATTATCCAATACAGGATTTTTTCTAAAGATGCATTTTTAAATGATTAACGGCCATATTCAGCATTCCCTAACAGACCGTTAAATTATCTAACGCATTGTTAAATCCATTTTCAGTATTCACCATCAACATATCATAGCAAACAGTCTGTTAAAGTCATGGATAAGTTAACAGCGCGATGTTGGACTGGTAAACCAGTAACTGACTGTTTAATACTAAATAGCCAAAAGTGTCATCCCGACTTTATTTTGCCTGGAGATTTCGTAGAAGTCATTTACAAAATACAGTCAGCAAACAGCGAGTAAGGGCTTGTTTTGTATAAATATCAAAATGGATATCCTCAGTAGAATTGATATTATCGACATATTAGAATCTGCGGAAACGAGTGACATTGAGGATATCCCGAGAGAAAGAATTGTAATAACTAGGAGGTTTCTCTTGATTGGAATAGATGATTTGGAAAAGAAGATTTAGAATAAATAAAAATACATTTAGGCGACTGGAAACTGTATTGCAAAATGTTGCTGAACTGATAAATGAAAGGAACCAGCCAATCTCAAAAGAAAACCAAATCTAGATATGGGGGCTAAATCTTGAAACTATGTGTGAGGTTATTGTGGCAACTGCTGTCCTGCACGTCATGTGCTTAGAACTTAATGACACTATCGAGAGACTCGATGATTTCATCAATCTTTATGTTTTCATGAAAAAATTAATTATCATGTAAACAGGTCTTCAAAGTGTCTACTCGTTTAAAATAATACGGATAACTTTGCCTATAAGTTATCATAGGTACTTGTGTCTTTATGGGAACAGAAATAGTAATTCAATTTAGTGACACACACTTCATATACTCTTATTTAATATAATTAAAAGGATTAAAACTTTTTCTACAAATTTAGTAGTTCGAGGAATAGATACCCCACTATCCGTTTTTAACAAATTCACCTGAAAAAAAAAAACAAGCTAATTTCTCTGTCCAAATCCTGTGAGAATAATGATACCTTGTCTTCAGATTTAGGTTGATTTGCTTTTTAGTTGCTGGCCAGTTCTGAGGACCGTCGTTTGAATGGAATACCCAGGCAAGCTTCTCTCAACACTCATTTTTTTGCTTGTTAAATACCAAGTTAGTCTTTTTGTTTTCAATTATGCTTCGATATTTTTCAACCAAGGGGATTATTGTCTCTTGATGTATATTTAACTGATCTTTTTTATGTCTTTTCCATGATGCAAAACCATTACAAAACTGACACTGTGAATGACAACCACATGACAACTCACATCATCTGTAAAGTGAGGTTAGATGTGGTTCTCTCGTTTTTTGTCAAGAGGCACCAACTTAAAGAAATTCAAGATTTTTGTATGACAGTCAGTTTGTTAGCAGAAGCCGAAAAGTCTTGCTATTGTTTAATAGACTGTTACGTCTGGCAAACGCCGAATTGGTGAATACGGCCGTTAAGCAGTGTTCCATGTAATCATATTTATTACGGATAAAGTTGAATACTTAACATCCAACATTTTAGTCTTATTTGATGTTCATGCCCCTTTCGTGTCCTCGCGCATAAGTAAACCGTATGCTCCCTGGCTGACAACCAATTTTAGGTTGCTTATGAAAAAACGGGACGTAGCACTTGAGGAGTTTAAGCGTACAAAGAGTTTTTTAGATCATCACCTAATACATTTAGACACTCTGGAAAGCAATTGGTTCTACCGGCCTAACAACTAAAAAGACTCCCGACATTTCTGAAAAATTTAAAGATGTCAATGCTGTTAACAACTATTTCTGCTCTATATTCTCCCCTCCAAGTAATTGCCCTGATACAGTTCATTCTATTCGTTATTTAAAATTCAATGAAAATATATCATTTCAATGTATACCTGTAAGCGAGCATGTTGTCTTTGATACAGTTATGTCTCTGCGTTCAAATGCAGCTGGTATTGATGGTGTTTCAGCGATCATGCTGAAACACTGCCTTGCGACCATTTTGCTTCCGCTCACTGTTGCTTGAAGGTTGGCTGCGTCCCCAATGCTTGGAAGATTTCTATAATTGAACCTTTGCTTAAACGTAAAACAATCGAAAAATTTTCTGATCTGCGTCCTATAACACTAATTTCGGTTTTTTTCAAAACTTTTAGAGGAAATAGTCAAATATTAAATGTGCGAATATCTTTTAGTTAATAATATTCTTCCTGAGTAGCAGTCCGAATTCCGGGGGGGTTATAGTACGGTGACGGCATTGGCGCAAGTGTCAGATGATACTATCAAGCAATATGATAATGAAAATGCCTCGACGCTCATACTGCTGGATTTTTCTAAGTCATTTGACACTATAGATCATGAGCTCCTTTGTGCGAAGCTATCATATTACGGTTTTACCGGTTTGTCTTTACAGTTTTTCGAAACATATCTTTCAGGACGCCAGTAAATAATATCTGTAGATGACACATTTCTGACCCATCTTTTATTTTACTACCGGCGTGCCGCAAGGTTCCATTCGTGGACCCATCCTTTTTCTGGTGTACACGTCAGACATCCATCTTCCTGTTTCCCATTCGTCAATTGTAGCTTATGCTGATGACACACAATTGCTGAAAGCCTTCACTTCATCCAATGTCTCTCAAACATTTAAAGATATTACTAGTGATCTCTATTGAAAACTAAATTTCTCCAAGAACAATAACTTGGAATTAAATTCTTCTAAGTCTTCTGTTATGCTTTTTTATTCAAACAATAGTCGTGATAATTTACTGCCGGAACTTGATATAAAAATTATTGAAGTTTCATTGCCATTAGTGGATTCAGCTAAAACTTTAGGGTTATCGTTTGATAGCTCGCTGCGCTTCAATGCACATCTATCCGTTACATTAAAAAAATGTTACTTCAATTTGAAACATATTTACTGCAATAAGCATATTATGAATTTTAAAACACGGAAAAATTATGTCAATCTCTTATATTCCCTATTGTTTCTTATTGCATTACTATTTATCTATCAGAATGTACGAGGTCTTAACAGTAAGGTAGGTATCTTCAACTGTTCTGTTTCTGAGAGTGAGTTTGACCTAATCGCGTTGAGTGAAACCTGGTTGAGTTTTAGTGTTTTGAGCTCTGAACTATTCGCCAATATTTACACAGTTCATAGGAAAGATCGAAAGTTTGGAATTCTCAGGAAAGAAACTGGAGGTGGTGTTCTCTTTGCTGCCAAAGACTTCATTGATTCTATGGTCGTTGAGACGAGTAATTTTGACTTACAGTTCCTTTCTATTGGTCTCTTAGTAGTGAAGTGTAATGTAGGCTTTAAGTCATTTTTTTGTAGTTGTTTTTATATACCTGATGGAATGAGCGTTGTGGAGTATGAATCTTTCTTTGATGCTCTCGAACAGTCCTTGGACTTCTTGAATGATGGTAATTCTATATTCTTTGGAGACTTTAATGCTCCTCGCTTTGTTGCTCAATTGCCAGCTGAATACCGTGACTAACCACTTAAGCAGGTTATGAGACTTAGTAATTACACGTTTTGCTTGTGAGGTCACTCATGATGTTATGCCTTTGGTTTCGGAAGACAAACATCACCCTGCTTTGAATATCTGTATACTTGATCTATTTGCCAAAGAAGCTAAAATCGAATTCAATTAAAGTGAACGTGTTTACAACTTCAGAAAAGCTGATTTTCCTTCTCTTTAGAGAGAAATGTATGAAACTGACTGGAGCGTATGATTTGCCTCTGAAGATGTCAATGCTGTTCTTGATAAAATATACGAGACAATATTTAGCATTTTTGATAAACATATACCAACCTATAGAAGCTATAGTCATAATTAACATTCCCCCCTTGATGTGATGCGAAAACTATCCGCAATATTAAGCAATTGGACAACAGTAGTCAAGTTGACGTCATCTACACGGACTTCTCGAAGGCCTTCGATCGAACAAATTTGGTTTTTCTAGTGATGCTAAGGACCCCTTTGAATCCCATTTATCTTAGAGGTGGCAATTTGTTTCTTATAATAATTTTCGTTCTGATACTTATTTAGCCTCATCCGGTGTTCCGCAAGGTTCAAATTTGGGTCCTTTGCTGTTCTTGCTATTCATCAATGATTTATGTGAAGATTTGCAGAGTGAGCGTTTATGTTTTGCGGATGATTTGAAAATATATTCCATTATCAATGATTTGAATGATTGTACTTTCCTTCAGACTCAATTGGACATCCTCCAGCACTGGTGTGATACCAATAAATTATTTACCCAAATGTAAAATTATGAGTTATTTTAGGGGGAAAACTACCTATATTTATTAGTGAGCTTTCTCTGGAGCGTTGTACCGAAATTAAGGATTTAGGTGTGATTTTTGATTACAAGTTGACCTTTGATAAGCATATTGAAGCATTAGTTTCACATTCTATACAGTTATATGGATTTCTTGTTAGAAACTGTAGACATTTCCATAACATAAGAACCATTAAGCTACTGTATTTTGCTTTTGTGAGGTCTAAACTGGAGTATGCTTGCATAGTTTGGAATCCCTTTTATGAGTGCCAAAGGAGTTGTTTGGAGAAAGTACAGAGATTTTCTAAGCCCTTTGTTTATAAAATTTTACAATAAAGCTACTATCTATCTATCTATCTATTTACTATCCATGTCTGGATACTGCATCGAACATAGATTACCAAAGTTTCAAAATAGCTGTTGCAGATTTATCTACAATCTTATAAAATATGATTTAACGACGGGAAAAATAATTGAGCTGAAATCGTTGAGAATAGACGATATGTATAGATACTCAGTTGCTACTATGATACATAAAATAATAACTCCGCAGTCTCCCCCTTACTTATATAGGAAATTATTGTTTCGCGGAAGAAATGATATCAATTTCAGATTCAAAAAACGACTTGAAATTCCATTATACAATACGACGCTATTCTGTCGGTCATTTATATATAATTCAATTAAAATATACAATGACGTATCTGATAACCTCAAAGCGCTTTCTATAGGTAACTTTAAGAGGAGTGTGAAAAAGAGGTTACTTGGTTAGGAATGTTGCTTCTGATAACGGTGGGAATTTTTGGTTTTACCTTGATCTTTATTTTTCTCCTTTTTTTGATTCAGTATGGGATTGATTGTGGTAATTGTTGCGTTGTTAATTAAAACCATGTATAGTTTTTGTTATCTAAAATCGCTCTAATGTTTTACTCTATGAGCCTGTTTTTTTTTATTCAATTTATTATTTTAATCATTTTCCGAAAGGTTGAGTAGAGTAGATATTTTCTAGACTCCGCCTTTTAAGAAGCATTATATAAATATGTAATGTATCCCTTAATAAAGACCCATTATTATTATTATTAGCAAAAAAATACGTGAATCTTCATTTCATCAAAAGTAGGTTTATATAATTTTATTTTACGTTTCCGTTTCTAGGATTCTACATGGACTCGTCGTAACAAAAAGACATTCCTCCATTACGACTTAATGCATCCTTGATGTTAATGAAATTCATAAACGTTCTACAGAAAGGAACAAAAATTTATAGTTCTTATATGTAAAAAAATAATGACAAAACTTGTTTGGAAAGATTCACTTTCTATCTAGAGATAGACGAGCTGAGGGAATACCTGATCGCAAACATTTTTCAGATAACAAATTTATGGCTATTTTAAACCATCTGCATCGCATAGTTTCTTAGTATTACTTTTCCTGTCATTCGGGCTTTCACTAATACCTATAATCGCGGCAATTTTAATGAAGTTGAGTGTATTAGATTCTTTACAGGTGTTGCACAGAACATTTATGGCGTTGACACCAAATTTCTTAGTTTTATATGCAATTAGATCTAACAGATTCTGAAAAATCACACCTTTAAAAATATTTTAAAAAAAACTAGAACTCGGGCTCCTACCTGAAACTATTTTATTTCACTAAACCGAATTTTCCTAAGAACCTTGCAACAGAGGAAACTCACTGTCAGTCATCGTCTTTCCGATTCCAATTCATTAACTGAAATATTAGTCTCTCTGAACGCCCGCATTCAAAGTGCTGTCCCCTACGGAATTTTGATTCACATGATCCGATGGAAGGTAAAACTTCAGAATACATCTTATGGCGACAGAGAATGTTCGCTACTCTCCAGCAAAGTCTTTCTGGGAGGCCGAAGAACAGAAGTATATCTAGAAGTATGTCTATGTCGATTGTGCGTGTACTTATTGCATCATCTTTGAATGATTGAATGAAAAATTAGAGGCATACCCGCCACCATAAGGGGCCAGCGCATAGGCCGCTTAAGCGGGCCTTTATACACCTCGCCATTCTAGCGAAGTTGAGTATGGCCTTGAGGCCAAGCTCCTTAACGTCCTGAGGGTCCAAGTGTAGCCTGTCTGTATTAGCTCAGAGCCTCACAGCGACACAGAACGTGCGCCGATGTCTCTTCCTCTACTCCGGAGAGCTCACACAAAGTGACCTCAGTCACCTCCATCACGTGCAGTTGGCGCTTTAATGTGTTATGACCAGAAAATAGATCCACCAGCAACTAGGTTGGCTCTATCCAAAGATAAGCAGAAACGTTCATTCTTAGCGCTAGGCCTTACAATGAGCTCCCGTGCCTGACGGAGATGTCTGGAGATGCTTCTCCATTTCTGAGAGTGTTGTCCTGCAATCCCCTTCTCCATTTTCCTCCTAGCTCTTTGCGCAAGCACCCCTAAAAGTTGGCTCAGGACCAACGAGCTTGCTAACTGATCCACCCCGGTACCCCCACACTAACGATATCGGAAGCCTCGCTGCTAGACAATCCAGAACCTCCCTTCATTATAATGCAAGGCCCGAAGTAATCTTACAGGCACTTGGTGCCTTCATTACAGCCTGGCTTTCAGAGAAGATTGTTATTCTTCTCCTAGGCCCTCCCCCCTTTCAAAGTGCGAGATACACAAGCCAGAATCGCAAAGATTTCCGCCTGGAGAATAGTGGTGTATCCACCAAGAGGCGCAGATAGCCTAGTTCTAGGCCCAGAGACTGCGGCGCCAGAGTCCTCTTCGGTGACCGAGCCGTCCGTGTACTAGACCTGCCCACTCACTCCAGAGAGCCTCCGGCTACCGGCGTCCCACTCCTTCCTCGTTGGATACTCCACGTTAAACTTGAGGTTGACGCGAAATTTAGGGGTAATTGAATCACTCCTGCTCAGAAGGACGAGATCTTTCTTATCCAGTTCGACTAAGCGCCTCATCTTCACGATGCAAAGTAAAAATTCTCGGGGAAGCAACCAACTGCAAAGCCACAAAGAATGTGATTCTCTAAGTTAAACTTTCGAAAATGTTTATTTTCTTCATCGGGACATCCTACAAGTAGCATAACTCAAAAAGTCACGTTACTTCTGACTTCGCCTTGCGGTTGACTGCTTCTCCGAGAATATTTACTTTGCATCTTAGCTATTCAGCCAAGAATACCCTCTTCCTCATTCTTGACAGGGCACCGCGGCTGCTTTGAGGAACTTAAAAAAACTTTGTTAATCCGATTTTCGAACCGCCCAAGGTTAGTAGAACTGAGAAAAGCCTCCTCATGTAGATTCTTCCAGAATATTTTCACCCTAGGGCGATCGTATCGGTAAGTTCTGTATGTACGAAGTTCAAAATGGTTGGGTCTGTTAATCTTCAACCTACACTACCTATCCCTAATAAGTAGGTGATGCCCAAAAGCCAAATGTCAAAATTGGAAAACGAATTTATTATACAAGGTGTTCAAAACAAACAAACAAATGGTCATAATTAAAGTTGTAGGGTTCTGTGAGAACAATCTAATGGTGACCTTGACCACAGTCTTTGAAGTCATCTAGCGGTCAACGACAAAAAAATTAAACGGGACCGGTTTATTTGGCCACCGATGGAAAGAGCCATGACCTTGAGAGTCATTAAGAGGCCAACTTGAAAAGTTTATAATAAGCAATATTTTAGACATCGCAAATGGAAGATGTGGAAAATTTTTACTTAGATAATTTTGATAATCAACGTAACCGTAATGTGTCACTCACAGGTTGAAAGATCACAAAGTTATATATTCCGATGTGGTCTTGACCTTGATCTTAATTGACCTCTGAACCATATGCAGGTCATGACCAAGGTCATCTCTGAACACAAAAATGATACTCATGATCAAGGCCAATATTAATCCGGCAACCCTGCAACTTTCCGCTTTTTCAGTATTTTCTGTAACGAGTGATGAGGGCGAACAGTTGTTGAATGTATGTCTACCGCCACAGCACATTTGATGTGGTAACCAGAAGCTTTGTAGGTATCGAGCAGCCCAAACGCCCTCCTGGCCACCTTAGGGCTGAAAATATTTATTCCTAGTAAAATTGGCCAATTATAATCAGCTGTAATAACATCGCACAAAAATAAAAAATTGGTCTGTACATTTGACCAAACCCATCTGAGGTTATGTATTTCGATGCTCGTATGGTAATCCTTATCTGAGGTCAGTTTGACCCGTACACCCTCATGATTTTGAGTAAATAGTAAAAAACCGCTAAAAATTGCTGAAAATCGCAAACAAAAAAGAACATAAAAATGTTTCTCGACCTACATCAAATGTATTTCTTATGTATTTCAATACGCTGAACACAAATCTGAAGTTGATTTAGCACATAGACCCTCCAAATTTCGAGTGGATTGTAAATAATTTATTTTAGCCAGAAATCGTTTAGAACCACGAAAATTGCAGTTATAAAATCGAAAAAAATTCTTTTTAACTAGATCAAGCGTTCACTTTACCACATGGAGATACCCTGGTTACAGGTACAAGCAACGACTTCTTCCTTACTCTTGACTACTTCCTTCAAATTTTGAAGACTATAGTGGAGAAAAAGGAGAATGATTTCACCAAGGCATAAGTAAAAAATGCTGAAGAGGTGCGCAGCTGAGCTTGCTCCAGTTCTTTCGCGTCTCTTCCAGATATCTTAGGAATCGGGCACCTTCCCAGAAAACTAGAAATTTGCCCATGTCCAACCTATCCCAAAAAAAGGATTTAAGACCGACCTTCACAACTACAGGCCTATAGCTCTGCTTTCTGTTATAAGTAAGGTGATGGAGAGGTGCATAAATCGCGAACTTTTGGACTGCCTCGAACGGTGGAGTAAACTCATCCAGTCTTATGGTGAGGCTCATTTCGTTGCTCTTGATATCACGAAAGCGTTAGATCACCTGTGGCACGCTGCCCTCTTATCCAAACTTCCATCCTATGGCCTCCCAGAGAAGCTTTGCAGATGGATGGCTGACTTTCTCTCTGGCCGCAAGGTATACGTCGTTAATGACGGATTCTAGTCTTCATCGCACAACGTCAACGCGGGTGTTCCCCAGGGATCGGTCTTGAGTTCGACACTGTTCCTCTTACATATTAACGACCTCCTTTCCTGTACGATTAACCCAATCCACAGATTTGCTGATGACAGCACTCTACATGCAGGGATCCAGAGCAACAAGCCAATCCCTGCCGCTGACATGAAAAAAAAGACTAGCGACGACTTCCTCTCTGACGAGAGACCTGGAGGTTATCATTGCTTGGGAACACCATAATGTACAGCTTAATGCTTCCCAAACCCAGTACTGTACCTTGACGAACATAAATTATCCTAGCGCTCATCCGATGGCCGAGGACTTGATTTGGCACGAACACATCTCGTCAATAGCGGCAGCTACTGGAACAGCTAGGCTATTTGTATAGGGCTAAGAAGTACTTTTCTCAAGGCCTAGATAATTCCTAGCCTCTAGCATTGCTCACAGGTTTGGGGTGCTGCCGCCCCGACTACATTATTTATGCTCGATGCTGACTCTTCTCTAACAGACAGTCTCGGGACTCTTTCGCACCGGCGGGCCGTCGGCGATCTAGCTCTTTTCTATCGCTACACCAACGGGCTTTGCTCCTCAGAGCTCTCTTCCATGATGCCGTCGCGCGATGCGCCTGCCAGACAGACCCGCCTGACTTCGGCATCCCATCCTAACCGTGTCAAACTTCGTACATCCAGAACTGGCCGATACGACCGCTCCTTTGTCCCGAGGGTGTCTAGATTGTGGAACAATCTATGGGAGGAAGCTTTTCCCAGTTCTACTAACCTTAGGCAGTTCAAAAATCGTATTAACAAAATTTCTTTGGGATCATCATAGCAGCCGCGGTGTTCCGGCATTTAGGCTTCTGCCTGCGCGGCTGTTTCGATATATAAAAAAAAAAAAAAAAAAAAAAAAAAAACTACTGGTTAGCAGACAAGTTCCCGTTTACTTACGATTGAAAAATCGTGACTAACTGTCACAATAGGCACGTACTATGTAGCACAATCCTTAGCTGGCGCATTGGCTATTTGGACGGCCAGGCCTGCCAGTTTTGTCAATCAAATAACAAGTTACCAATGCAAATGTCGCTAGGCTGGTACCGATGGTTTTTGAGGTTATATTTGATTGTTCACAGATATACGTTTGATTGTGCTTTGACGTCGGGTGGTCGGCGATTAGAACTTTTTTGTAAATCTGAAGGGTAAAAAACAAAAATCAAAATCATAGACTACGAATGTGACAGGAAATAAATACCTCATTCGCTTAGGTTGACTAACCTTGCTAGTTTGAATCCAGGAAACAGAGTCATCTTGCAATTGCAAGCAATTGTATGCAATTGTCTTCCACGCAAAACAATGTTGTCTTGCAATTGCAAGAGTTTGCATGCAATGGTCTTGCGAGCTGTAGGACGGTTTTTACTCATATGACTGCAGAAACAATCTAAATTTATCTGTTTAGTTGTGAGCGTCGATCCGTTGCAAAATTCAGAATTGAGGAAGCTGCAATAGACCCCATTAACTTCGTTTTTATTAGGC